GATTGAAATCATTTAACAATAACAACAAGCTGTGTGACCCTGGGCAAGACACTTAAACTCTGTTTGCCTCAGTTTCCTCAACTATAAAATGGGGATAAAAGTTTGTTTTGAGGATAAACTGAAGTAGCATTTGTAAAGTGCTTAACAGTGCCTGGCACATAGTAGGATCTATATAAACGCTCATTCCCTCCTCCACTCTCCCTTCCAATTCCATTCTCATCTCTGCCTCTTGGCTTCCTTGGTTTCTTTTAAGACTCAGATCAAATCCTACCTTCTGCAAGGGGATTTTCCCAGTCTTTACTACTGCTAATGCCTTCCCTATGAGATTACCTCCCATTTACACCATATTAATATAGGCTGTGTGTACATAGTGGTTTGCTTGTTGTCTCCCCGTTAGAATGTGAGCTTCTTGAGGGCAGGGACTGTATTTTTGCCTTCCTTTGCATTCCCACTGTGCTCTTAATGAATGCTTGTTGATGAAGTCTATGATCCTATGATTAATCAATTATTCAAAAAGCATTTATTAAGCGTCTGCTATGTGGCCAGCAGTGTGCTAGGTGCGGACTATATGAATGCACAAAACATGACAATCTCTACAGCAAGGAGCTTTCATTCTCCTTGGCAGGAGGGAAACGTCATGTATATTCCCAGATAAGTAAATACAAGGTAGACACACAGTAAATACCAAGCGAAGTTAGGTGAACTAACAACAGGGCTAGGGGTTCCAAGAGGCAGAGGGAAAGAAGGTGAGCATGTCAGGAACTGTAACTGCCACATTTTAGAAAGGACATTAATAAATTAGTCTGATTTAGAAAATGAAATTTAATAGGGGTATGTAAATTCCTACACTTGGGCTAAAAAAAAAATCAGCTGCACAAACTCAGCATTATAGAAGGTACAATTCACTGGGAAAAGATTTGGGGGTTTTAGTGGACCACAAACTCAATATGAGTTAACAGTGTGGCAACACTGCCAGAGATAACCAATGAGATGTTAGCCTGAATGGAAGCCTAAAGTCTAGAATGTGGAAGGTAATAATCTCACTCTACTCTTCCTTGTTTAGACCACACCTGGGACATTGTGTTCAGCTCTGGGACACCACATTTTAGGAAAGAAATTGATAAATTGTAATTACTCTAGAGGAAGGAGATCAGTATGGGAGAGGGGAGTGGATATTGTGCTGTGTGAGGATAGGTTGAAATATCTGTGGAATTGTTAGCTTTTGAGAAGAAAAGACTTAGAAAAGGTTTTTGAGAAGAGAAGGCTAATAGTAGAAGTCTAGCACTGAAAAGGGATATGAAGCTGTAGGACCTAGATGTAGAGGGATCATGTAAGAGATCGTTTTGATCATGCTAATGTCAAGTGTTGAGGGGCTATGCCAAAGAAGAGGCAGTGGGAATGGAAAAAGAGGAATGGGCATTACAAAGAAGAATCACTATATCTTAGGACTGATTAATAATAATCACTGATTGAATATGGAGGACAGGGAGAAAAAGCAGTCATAGAATAACAGATTTAGATCTGGAAGGGAGCTTAGGCTTATTCATTCCAACCCTCTCACTTCATAAATGAGGAGAAAGTAAAAGGAAGAGAGAAGTGACTTGCCCAAGGTCATACAGGTTGTGTGGGATTTGAACCGAGTTGATCTGACTCCAAATCCATGATAGGAGTTAGAGCTAGAAGGCCATCTAGTTCATCCCTCTCATCTTTTGGATGAAGATGCTTAGAAGCGTCTGGGTCAGTGGACTGACCTAATGTTCTCCCCCATTCTCCAACAGATTAAATGGTAGCTTCAAGGTTTGAACCTGAGTCTTCTGTCCCCACATCCACTGATCTTCAATCCGAACAGTTCAGGACCTTATGTTTGGGCCAATTATGCTTTTTGGAGGTAGAGCACAAGTCTTTTTGTTCTCTCTCCTTGCACAAAGGAAGCTAGGCCTGAAAACCTGGAATCTGTGAACTTTTTTGTTATTTTAAAATAATATTTTTATAACTGTATTACAATATTTCAATAGGTTTCCTTCGCAATCTTATTTTATATTATGGTTAGGATAGGATAAAACATATCCTATTTTATATTAATTGCATATTATAATTTTATATCATATTATATTTATATGTATTTTACATTGTTGTTGTTTAGTCAATTAGTTGTGTCCGACTCTGTGACTCCATTTGGGGTTTTCTTGACAAAAATACTGGAATAGTTTTGCTATTTCCTTTTCTAGCTTATTTTATAGATGAGGAAACTGAGGCAAACAGGGTGAAGTGACTTGCCCAGGATCATATAGCTAGTAAGTGTCTGAGGCTGGATTTGAACTCAGGAAGATGAGCCTTCCTGACTTCAGGACCTGTACTCTATCCATTGGGCAACCTTGCTGCCCATGCGTATTTTGTAATATGCATTTAAAAACAACATTTTTCTGAGAAGGAGTCCATAGGCTTCACCAGACTGGCAAGGGGCCCACAACACAAAAGAAGTTAAGAGCCTCTATTGATCAATGGAACAGATTAGGTACACAACATATAGAAGAAAAACTATCTAGTGTCCTAGTACTTGATAAATAAAAAGACCTCAGCCTCTGAGATAAAAACTCACTATTTGATAAAAAACAAAAAACAAAACTCTCGGCAAATTGGACATCATGGACCAAGATAAGTTCCAAATGGATATATTACTTAGAAAGAAAAGGCCGCATCATATATAAATTAGAGAAACATCGAAAAATTACCTCCTCTATGGATAGAAGAAAAGTTCATGCCCAACAAACGATAGAGAGGATCACAAAAGATAAAATGGATAATTGATTAAATAAAATTAAATTGTTTTTGCATAAACAAATCCAATAAAACTAAGATTAAAAGGGAAACAATTAGCTGGGAGGGAAAATCTGTAGCAAGTTTCTCTGATAAAGGTCTCATTTATGAAATATATAAGGAAATGATTCAAATTTATAAAAATAAGAGCCATTCCTCAACTGGTAAATGGTCTAAAGAGATAAACATAGTTCTTAAGGGAGGAAAACAAGGCCACCTATAGCTATAGAATATATGACACTCCTTCCCCTAAATGTTCCAAATCACTAATAAACAGGGAAATGTAGATTAAAACAATTTGAGCTTCTACCTCATAGTAATCAGATTGGCAAGGATGACAAAAAAGGAAAACAACAAATGTTGGAGGAGCTGTGGGGAAAAAGACTCATGCGTAGTTGGTCCGGAAAGCAAGTTCAAATTATGCATAAAAGGTTACTAAATAGCGCATGCTCTTTGACACAGCTATATCACTGCTTAGGCCTATACCCAAAAGAGATCAAAGAAATAGGAAAAAGTCCAATGTGTACAAAAATATTTATAACAGCTCTTTTGTGGTAGCAAAACAATGGAAACTAAAGGGATTCCCGTCAATTGAGGAAAAAGCTCACCAAACTGTGGCATATGAATATGATGCAATACTATTGTGCTGTAAGAAATGAAGAAATAGATGACTTTAAAGAGATATGGAAAGATATATGAACTGATGTGGAGTAAAGAACGATTTACCCGATAACATTAATGTCATAAAAATTAATCATTTCAAAGACACAAACTAATGAAAAACGAAAGGGGCAGAACAGAAAGAACAATCTACACAGTAACAGCAATATTGTAAAGATAAACCACTTTGAAAGCTGTTAGAAATCTGATCAATGCAATGATGATCCATGATATTAGAGGATCAGTGATGAAAGAGGGAATCCATCTCCTGACACAGAGGGGATGGATTGAGAGCACAGGATGACGTGTGTGTATCTCTCTCTCTTTCTCTCGAGAGGTGTGCATAGCTATAGCTATAGATACACATCTATATTTATGTGCATGTATACATATATACACTAAATATACACACATGCATATGTGTATCTATAGACATTTATATAGCTATATAGAGGCATATATCCATATTTATACATATGTATACATATATATGGGCAGATAGGCGGCACAGTGGATAGAGTGCCAGTTTTGGAGTCAGGAAGATTCATCTTTCTGAGTTCAAATCTGGCCTCAGACACTAGCTGGGTGATCCTGGGCAAGTTACTGAACTCTGTTTGCCTCAGTTTCCTCATCTGTAAAATGAGCTGGATAAGGAAATGGCAAACCCTCTAGTATCTCTGCCAAGAAAACCCCAAATGGGGTAACAGAGTCAGACATGAGTGAAAAATGACAAAACAGCAACAAATACACACACCTACATACATATGTACATTAAATGGAGAAGGAAATAGCAAAACCAGTGCAGTATCTTTGCAAAGAATACCCCCAAAAGGGGTCACAAAGGGTTGGACACTACTAAAACAAAGGAATAACAAAAATATACACTAAATATACACATAACTTATGCACACATACATATATGTATATATAGGTGTATCTTTATATAGATGCGCGTAGAGCTATAGATATAGGTACATATATCTATACACCTACATATATACCCATACATGAATATGTGTATATCTCTATAGATGTGTATATAGATCTAGATACACACATATATGTATGTTGTGTATCTCTATATAGATGTGTATAGATATATACATATGCATACACAGACACATGCATATGAGTGTATATTTCCATACCAACATCTATATATACACACGTACATCTGCATCTACATGTACATGTATATGCATATGTATATTACACATATTATAGTCGGTAAGGGAATTTGTTTTACTTGACCATATATATTTGCTACAAGACTTCATTTTTCTTTCACTTTTAATGAAGTAGGAGAAAGAAAATAGATTTCTATAAAACCCCCCCCACTAAAAATAGAGAGGATGGGTGGGGCTATAAGTGTGGAATGTAGCATGCACATTCAGATGAGACCACTTGTTAGTTTTACTTAATTGTCTTACTTTGTTATAAGATGGTTATTCTGGGTGGTAGTAATCTGGAAATGTTTATAAAAACAAAATATATTAATACAATTTAAAACAACTCTGATTTAGACTTATTCTGCTAGCCCCAGAGGACTAACAGGTGGAAATGAAATTGTTGCAAATTTTAACTCGTTATAAAGAACTTCCTAGAATTTGGAGCAGTCCTAAGCATAGAATGAGTTGCTTCCAGAACTCAGGGAGAGACATTTGGACAGGTGCGGAAGCTGCTGTAATGAAGATTCTGGAGTGGGGGAGAGGTGGAGGACTGCGGCTCTGAGGAGGGTTGGACTGGATGACCTCTGAAGTCCCTTGCACTTGGACATTCTGCGGTCTCCTATGACTTTGGTCAGGAGTTCAGGGTTCTCTTCACCTGACAAGCCACCAAAGGCTGCAAAGCTTCCTTCACTTGCTCTGCAAGGCGCCTAGGAGGTGCTGCTGAGGTATCGCAGAGTGAGGGAGTGGGCCGTGGGGGAAGCAGTTCTAGGAATCTGGACCACGTGCGAACCACGTGGCGCTGGTGCCGACCCGGGCCCCGGGAGGTGGCGCAGGGGCCTGCCGGGTGCTACGGCAAGCCGGGCAGGAAGAAGGAGAGTGGCGCTGCCCGTGGCAGACAGGCCCAGGGCTGGAAGGAGGTAACAGTAGGGAGTGAGAAGGACACTTTTCCTTTCGGGCGACCTCCGACCCGCTACACCTTTAAGGTCGCCGCTTTTCTAGCTGCGCCTTGTGTTTATAAACAGAGAAGATGGCGCGGGTAAAACCCCGGAGAGGCGGATTTTCCGGGCGGGATCGGGAGCCTCCCGGTGCGCATGCGCAATCACCCCCGCCCCCTCCGTGGCCCGGGTAGCGCGCGCTGAGGTTGAGCTCCAGGAGAGTGGGGCGTGCCCTATACGCTCTCCAGCCTCCTCTAGTGTTTACCCCGGCATCTCCGCACGGGCGGAGGCTAGTTGCAAGAAAAATGGGGGGAATGCTGGGAAAGTCTCAGCAGAAAGCCATGGGGAGGGCTAGGTTAATTAGGAAAACGCCCGTTCCGGGGTGGGGAGTAAAGTCTCCCTTCACCCAAATCAAGTTTGCACGCAGAGTTTTCCCTGTGAGACCTAGGAAGCAATTAGACTCAAGGAGATGCGAAAGAGGGTTTTGGTGAAACAAACCTGGGGTGTTACCCTGCTCAAATTTTGCCCCTGGATTTCACAGAATAACAGAATGTTAAAGCTAGAAGGGCCCTTAAAGATTATTTAGTCCTCAAGGACCTCAAGGAGACTTGATTTCTCCAAAGTCCATCAATCAGTCCATAAGCATTTATTAAAGCACCTGCAGAGTACCAGTTACTGGGGACGAGAAGACAAGTAGGAAATCACTTTCCCTCATGGAACTTAAATTCTGTTGGAGACAATATGTAAAATTTAAGTTGTACAAAATAAGTTTATGCAAATTCCTGCAAAATAAACTATTTTGGGGGGCGTTTGTGTTGGTGGGGGGTGAGGGGTATGCACTAGAAGAAAATGCCTCAAGTTTTTGAATTGGGCTTTGGAAGAAGCCTGGGATTCTAAGAGCTGGAGATGGGAATGGAGTGCATTTAAGACTTGGGGGGAGGGCGCAGCATATGCAAAGTTAGGGAGGTGGGAGATGGGATGTGACCTGAAAGAACCAACAAGAAGAACACTTTTGCCAGAGTAAAGAGATCAGGAAGGGAAATGTTTAGCAGCAGACCTGTTGAACCCTAAGTCTTCTGGCTGAGCCTAGTGTGCTTCTTTTGGTCAGCCACTCCCACTTTGATGATGATGATGGTGATGATAAATAGCTTTAATATAACTTTAAGGTTTGCAAAGAGCTTTACAAATATTATCTCATTTGATCTTTACAACAATCCTTGGAGGGTGGTGCTATTATCCCTATTTTAGGTAATCTGGTGGATTAAATTCAGGATCTGGAGTCAAGAAAATCTGAATTAAAATGTGACCTCAGACATGTATTAGCTGTATGATTCTGGATGTCACTTTAATCTGTCTGCCTCAGTTTTCTCAACCATAAAATGGGCATAATAATGCCCATTTCCTGGGGTGGTTGTGAGGATCAAATGAGATGATATTTGTAAAGCTCATTATTTGTATTCATAATCTGTAAAATTTACTTTAACTTTCCCCCTAAACTCTTTATCTCCTACAATTCCTGTTACTGTAGAGGCAACATAATCCAGTCCCTCAGGCTTGTAACTGAGGTGTCATCCTTGGCTCCTCATGATCTCTCACCTCTCATATCCAAGCTATTGTCCATTTCACCTTTGCACCATCTCTCCAATAAGCCCTTTCTTTTATCATCACCTTAGTCCTGTATTATTACAATAGCCCGTTGGTGGATTGGCCTGCCCCAAGTCTCTCCCCACTCCAATCCATCCTCAGTTACTAAAGTGATTTTTCTAAAGTATAGGTCCAACCATGTCACCCCCTACTCAATTGCCTTCAGGATCAAGTGAAAAATGCTCTGTTGGGTTTTCAAAAACTCTTCATTACCTAGCCTCCCCCTGACCCCACTTTCTAATCTTCCTACACTTTGGCCTCCTTGTTGTTCCACAAGCAAGACACCCATTTCTCTTCTCTGGGCATTTTCTCTGAATGCTCTTCCTCTTCATCTCTGCCTACTGGCTTCTCTGGCTTCTTTTAAAGCTCAAGTAAAATCCCATGTTCTACCTGAAGCCTTTCCTAATCCCTCAATTCCTGTGCCTTCCCTCTGCTACATCCTATTTATCTTGTATATAGCTGCTTATACATTTTTATAATGTCTCCCCCATTAGATTGTAAGCTCTTTGAGAACAGGGTCTGTCTTTTGCCTCTTTTTTAACCCTAGTGCTTAGCAGAGTGTCTGACACATAGTAGGCACTTAATAAATGTTTATCGACCGACTAAAGTGCATAGCATAATTCCTGGCACGTAGTAGGTGCTTAATAAATGCTTGTTTACTTACAGGTGAAGAAACAGCAGATAGAAGTTAAGTGACTTGACCAAGGCCACAGAGGTAATAACTGCTAGAGACAGTGTTTGAATTCAGGTCTTCCTGACTCCAAGTGTATCAGTCTGTCCACTATGCTGCCAAGCTCTTCTCATTGCCGGAATACAAAAGAAGAAGTAGGAATTAGGAAAATATATGGCCAGAGGATTCTTGGACCACGCTACAAAGGTTTTGAAACTGAAGAGCGGCCAGATGAATTCAGCCTTGTCTGTCTCACTGGTCCTGACTTCTGGTAGAAGAGCTAAGACAACAATTAAAAGCTATTCCTGTTGCATTGTAAATGATATGTCTGCTGAAGCTCGTCATTTTGATGATATTAGCAAAGATCACACAAGGCATAGATTAGTCCAGTGTATAATTAGGATATTTCAGTTTTAACTAAAGACAATTTTCCATGGAGTTACATACAGGCTGAAACAATAATAATTAAGGCATTGCAGTCACTTCTGACACCACAATTAATATTGAGGAAGGACATGTTAATCGAACTACTTAAAAAAAAAACTTAGCTGCTCCCCTAGAAAACCTATAATTTATCTGAAATTTCTAAAGCTCTTTCTCAGATTTTTTCTTCTTCCATTTTTAAGTTTGGAGAAGATCCATGCAACCATTTATAATTATTCAACCATGAAAAAGTGCAGATTTCAGTATTTTAAAGCTCCTTTTTACAGTTGTATAAGCAAAAAAAAAAAAGGCAAGCCCCACAAAACTTGGCAGCATGAACTATAAACTGAAATTTCTCTATTTACTTCAAACAACAGTAACATTCTCCAGTTCTTACTACACATATGGATGTCTGAGCAAATAGAATGCTTGATATGTGTTTATAATTTCATTCTTTTCACACTATAGCATAAAACACATTTCACCAACTTTGGCTCATACACGTAGCAATTTATCATTTGTGAGTCAGTAACCACCAAAAGGTGAGGCTCCTGGAAAGCTGCCTGGATCTGGTTAGTGAAGGAACCAGGTGTGAAATGTCCAGCAATAGGTGTGGCACCAATGGCAGGCCAAATTTCAAAACAGTGTCTGCTAGCCAGCTCTCCTAGATTAGGTAATACTCATGTCAGTTGGATTTTCAATGGCAATGATGGCCCAAGCTGGAAGCAGAAACTTTACCCAAGCCCTTTTCAAATTTATGAGGTAAATGCTATCACTGTACCTTTTGTAAGTCTACTGTTCTACTTAGAAATCCAAAAGGTAGCAAAGGATTTGAAGACATCCCTCTCCTATATCTCCAAGACATCTAGAACTCTGAGTATTGTGAAAGTTTCCTTTTTAAAGTTACGACAGAAACTATATGGGACCCTGTTTTGGAAAGCGTGAAAAGTGATATTCTTTGTTTTTATATAACAGTCAGTTCCAGGTGTAATAACTCTTCCTTCTCTCCCTCAGTTTCCCCTCCTCAGCAAGACTTGAACCCTTCCTTATAACAAAGGAAAACAGATTTTTAAAAACTGATATAGGAAAGGGATAGGAATAAGCATTTATGTAGTGCTTACTATGTGCCAGATGTGATGCTAAGCACTTTTTACAAATATTGTCTTACTTGATAATGTCTGATATAGTGACCAAGTCTCATAGAAGGCAGTATTTGCCCCCATTGTCCCCTATCTCTACTGAGAAGAGGGAAGTGTGTTTCATTAACAATTCTTTAGGACTAAGATTGATTATTTTAATTACTCAGAATTCAGCTTCCTTTTAATTTAATTTAGTTCTTATAATTTACATTACTGTAGCAATTCTCAGCCATTCTTCTTGATCTATCTGGGACTTTTCTTACTGTTGCTTCCAGTGCCCTCTCGCTTTCTTGTGCTTTTGTACTGCTGATTTCAGTTTCTCCTCCTACCTTCTCTCTCTGCTTTGCTACATCACAATCCATGCCTATCCCCTAAAATTATTACTATCCCCCAGCGGTTTCCCCTGGGCCCTCTCCTCTCTTCTTTCCTCTGTACGGTCTCTCTCTGATCTCATCAGCTCCCATGTATTTAATTATAAACTCTAAGCAGACTGACTCCGAAATCAATCAATCAATCAATCAATCAATCTATCTACCTATCTGCAGTTTTCCCATAATGGGGAAATGGCCAGTAGGGACCCAGTCCTTTGAGCATATTGTATTATGTTTTGCCTAGTGCCATCCCATGTGGATTAATTGTGGAGCTTGCTTCTGGAAATGTGTGATGACTTTGTCCCCAATTCAGAATGCACGCAGATATTCTGTGACTGTTCGCTGAATGCTTGGTGAAGAAAAGACTTTTAGTTGGCTTCTGAGCCAGAATTGACTGTGCGTACAAAACTCCAATAGAAGAACTCAGTCTCTCTTTCTCTGGCAGCTTTCAAGTGAAGAGGAAGAAATGCTGTGGATATTCATGAAGAGAGGTAACCCTAGCATCAGTGGCAGATACTGCTGAGGATATCTTCTCTCCCCATCTGGTTCTCTATGGGAATGCACAGCCTTGTTTCTTCTGTTCCTGTTGTGTTTATTCCTTCCTAATCCAAGGTGAAGGAGTATTGGAGATGGAATGACCTTGTGAGCTTTAAAAGATTTGAAGAGCATCTAAAAGTGCAATAATGAAAGCCCGTGGTAACAACTGCCATAGCTATCATGCCTGAGCCAGGTGAAGGAGTCAGCAGGGCTGAGGACTAACATGCTGGTCGCCTGTGTGACCCAGCCCAGAAGTGAATTGACCCTTCAGCTGAGATTCCATGTCCTGCAGTCGAGGGAATAACTCATCCATCTATAGATGTATTTGGAAGTGAATGTTTATAGTATCTACTTTAAGTCTGAGTCCACTCTCTTTAAGGACCAAGGTGGTAGAAGGAAGAGTGTCTTCCAGATTGGACATGATGGGGGGAAGAGGGCATGGTAGAGTTTTTTTGTGCTTCTTTTCTTGCTCTATCTTTTCAGTAAATAGCTCTGAGTTCAAATCCAGCATCACACACTTACTAGCTGTGTGACTCTGGCAAGTCATTTCACCCTATTTGCCTCAGTTGCTCATCTATAAAATGAGCTGGAGATGGAAATGGTAAACTTCTCCAGTATCTTTGCCAAGACAACTTGAGGTAGGGTCACAGAAAGTTGGGCAAAACTGAAATGACTCAACAACAACAAAAACTTATTAATGTTAATTGCTTATTGATGATATTAAGGAGATAATAACTGATAAGTAATAATGGGGAAATACTGACTGGCACTGACAAATGATTGGGACACTGATCACTGGCACTGATTTTGGGGAGGGAACACATTGGATAGGGGCTTAAGCTGATAGCACAAGAAGAATCACCCTAACCCCTCAGGGTTACCCCTACATATTCAAGGGAGAAGTGTAGCTGAGCTCTAGGGATCTGACTTGCTGTGGAAAATGAAATTGGGGTTGGGAGAGTGAGGCCCAGAGTCTGTAAGCGCTATAGGACCATAGATTTAGAGCTCAAAGGGACCTGAGGAGGTCATGAATTACCACCTCCTCGTTATATAGATGAGAAAACAGGTTAAGTGACTTGCCCAGGGTCACACAGTAAGTAAGCTTCTGAGGAGAGATTTGAACCCAGATCTTTCTGACTCTAAGTCCAGTGCTTTTTCCATTATACCTTGCTGACATAGGATATCATATGCAATGTCCAATAGGCAGGTAGTGATGAGGACTGAAGTCCAAAGGAAATATTGGGGATGGATGTATAGATTTGTGAGTCAGAGGATGGAAGCCAGATTGCAAAGGGCTGAGGAGAGAAAGAGCCAATGAATGGAGACAGATTTTTTTCCTTCTCCCCTCCCTTCCCTCCCTCCTCTCCCTCCCTCCCCTCCCCCCTCCCTCCCTCCCTCCCTTCCCTCTCCTCCCCTCCCTCCCCTCCCCTCCCCTCCCCTCTTTTCTCCTCCCCTTCCCTCTTCTTTCCTCTTTTCTCTTCTCTTCTCCTCTCCTCTTCTCCCCTTCCCTCCTCCTCTCCCCTCCCATCTCCTCCTCTTCTCTCTTCTCCCCTCTCCTTCCCTTCCCTCTCCTGTTTGTTTGTTTGTTTTTGCTTTTCTGGACCCCCTTAGCAGTTCAGTGAAGGCTATGGTCCCCTTCTCAGTGTAATGTTTTTAAATGGATAAAATAAAATACATAAGATTATAAAGGAAACAAATTATATTGAAATACAGTTATCAGCATTTAAAAAAAGGTTATAGACCCCAGGTTAAGAACCCCTTCTATAGATTTATTTTGGTTCTTTCAGCCCTCTGTGGTCTAGCTGGCAAAAGAGAGGACTGGAAATTCTCATCTTGTCCCAATTCTATCAGATTTATTAAATTGTAAACTCATTGAGGCAGGAAATAAGGTTTTTAAAAAAAAATCTTTATTTTCTTGGCCTCTACCACCATGTCTTATGCATTAAAAAAAAAAAGGAAGAAAGGAAGAAAGAAAGAAAGAAAGAAAAAAGGCCACATCTGTGATTTCATTGGCATAGGGAATACCTGATGAGGACACTCACTCTGCCATCAGATTGGCACTTGTTTTGCAATTTATAGTCTTAAACACTTGCCTAGGGCACTGAGGTTAATTAACTTGCCCATGGTCAAACAGCCAATATGTGTCACTGGCTAGACTTAAGCATTAGTTGTCCTCACAATGAGGCTAGCTCTACCCACTCTACCATTCCTGGGCATTTTGTTGTACTTGTGGAGTCGTTTCAGTGTATCTGGCTCTTTGTGACCCCATTTGGGGTTTATCTGGCAAAAATAGTAGAGGGGTTTGCCATTTCCTTTTCCAGCTCATTTTGCAGATGAAGAAACTGAGGCAAACAGGTTAAATGATTTCCCCAAGGTCACCCAGCTGGTAGGTGTCTGAAGCCAGATTTTAACTCAGGAAGATGAGTTTTCCTGATTCTAAGCCCTTGAACTTGGGTGCAATGGATGATTAATTATTGTTTGTTGAATTGAATTGTCCATTAACTTCCCGGGTTGTTTTGGAAAAATGGCCCATTTTGCATCATTTAACCACTGCACAGGAAAGGTAGAGTAATAATGAATGAATATTTAAAAGGTACTTTGACCTTCCTCAGATCAAAAATAGCTATTATTAGGGTGATTTTGTATTTCTCTTGAGTTTTGAAGGCCTTTAATTATCATGTTCCATTTCCCAATGTACTGTAGATGGCACTGTAGGATGAAAATTGCAGCAATGTGTGACTTATGGAGAAAAGGAAGGATCAGGATGTACAATAGTCAAGATGTAGCTGAGTCTAGCCAGAAACCATCTTGTTATTGTCCCTCATAAATCTATCTTAATATTTAATTAAT